ATTTCTACCTGAAAAAGATGAACTCCCCTTTTTCATAAGGGAAAGATAGCTCCTTTCTTGGCGTTATGATAATGAAAATTTTCAGCCAGGTCTTCTAGCATTTGTCTCAGAATTCATGTTCATAAAACCAGAAGGAAAAAAATAACCAAGTCTCACATTTTTTACATAAATGACATGAATACATGAGAAAGGAGGCCTCAAAATGACAATTACAAGAGATCCCAAAATTTACATAAAATCATAATGACCGTTACAAGAACAAACATATCTATTTACATAATCAAATTTACAACAAATTGAGAGTCTTGTTATTACAAGTGGATTGAGCTCCGTTACATCTTTTAATCAATCTTTACCAAACCCAATTTACAAACGAACAAAAAAAGAAAAAACAGAAAAATTAAAACAAAAAACATAAAACACAACAAAAGAACACAAAAACAACAACAAAGTTTACATACAGATTATACGACATCGGCGAATCCACTACATTTGAGTGCTGTGTAACAACTGAAAATACCCACATAAGTGTTAAGCTGGCGAACAAAACTGGAGAAATTGTTGTGCTTGAAATTCCTGGGCAGGACAAGCCTGGCGAACTCCACCGGGTCCCACACGACAAAGCTCCCTCCGGTCGACCCCCACGAGATTATGGCGTCGATCGCCGGGTCGTCGACGAGGTCGAAAGTCTTCGACAGAAACGGCGGAATGGGATTCCCCTGTAAGCATTCCAGAGGCTGAGGAACAACAACTGGTTTGTTCTCCTCCGCTTCGAACTCAAACATCGGAGACTCCGAATACGGGAATGCGTCCATGAACAAAGTAGGGTCTAATTCAGCCATGTCCAACTCGGGTGAGTTTTCGTCTTTGGGATTCATAGAAAAACACAGAGGGGTTTGGGTTTGGGTTTGGGTTTAGGTTGGTTTGGTTTGGGAAATGGGAATCGGAAACTGGGTATATAAGACAAACGTGACGGAAGTGTTTGCCGACAAGGTGTTCGATAAAAATCTTATAAGAGTCGAAAGGCGGTGGAAGTTGGAAACTGTTACAGTTTCGTTGTTGGGAACTCCGACCCATCGGAACTGTGATTGTGGGGCTCTGAATTTTTTTTTTTTTTGGCTTTTTTTTTTTTTTTGTGAAATTTGTTTGGTGATCAGAGAAGCGCCGACTTAGAAAGAACCGGCAACGAAGCTTCTCGAGAATTTGGCTAAAATAACCGAGTAAAAAAGTGATTAGGGAAATCACTTTCCAATTTCATTTTTATTTATTTTATTTTCAATTTCATTTTTATTTATTTTATTTTAACAAATTCTTAATAATATAATTAATGGGTATTTATTTATTAATTAAGTATTATTAATAAAAATCAAGATTTGAATTTAATTAAAAAAATGAAACAGACAAGCATTCTTCCCGAGTATCCCTCACAAATCAAGAGCTCCAAAAAAAAAAAAAAAAAACCTAAGAGGAACGAACGATCAAGAAGGCAAGAGAACGACCAAAAATCCTCATTCCCTTCGGAACCTCCGAGATCTCCTCTTCACTTGCGACGCCAGTGCCAAAGTTCATGGCCACTGAAGAAGAGAACACGACCATGCCGGATGAATGAGCTTTTCGCACATACTCACCCCCGCATTTGTCGTCGCCTTCGTCGGCCCCTTCGTTGCAGCCATCGCCGTCTTCCCCACAACTGCCGCCTCCACCTTTGACTTCGCCACCGCCACCATCACCTCAAGCCCAAGAACAAGGTTTTTTTTTTTTTTTTTGAAGTGAACCCGTAAAATTTTTGTGGTGCAATATGCAAGACAATACGAGTGTTATTATTCTGCCTTATATTAACCGAAGCTCACCAGGATGGGATCAAAGAAAATGCACAGCCAGTTCAGTTTTTTTTTTTCCTTCAAAAATAAATAGCTTTGATGGAAAGTTCTCTAAACTATTTGTTATTATTTGGTATACTCGTGCCTTTATCACTTGAGTTATGTTGAGTTATGTTGTTTATAGAACAGCTCAAATTCCATTAGATTACCCTAAATTGCATGTTAATTCAACATTTGAATCTTTTACACATTGGACAGAGTAAATTTTCTTAGATAGGACGCACACATTGCTTATACATAATGCTTCTAAAGCAATGAATTCTAGTATAGTATGGCTACTGATAACTGAACAACAACCACAAAGGCGCAACATTTTTCAGTTTTTCTATTAAAACCATTTGCGTTAAGAATGCCATATAGACATACGTGAACAATAACGACCATCAAGTCTTTCAGACATGATGACCATCAGGTCGTTCAGGTCGTTCATCAATCACATCATCACTTCCCTCAAGTAGATCGTCATCTTCATCGGGTACTTTCTCCCGCATTGTTTCCTCCAGAATTGGATTGGAACTAGTGATCAACGTTGGATTGGAACCGGTGATCGGCGTTAGATTTATATCGGTGTTCTGTTTATTTATCTGTAATGCACGTATATTATGACTAAAAATATCCTCTTGAACACATACTACCAATGGCGCTGGACACTTAAAATAATCATCACAGAAGTCTCTCACACGACTGTTATCATTGTTAATATTATCGTCAGTAATAACACATTGCTTTATCTTTCTCATTGTTCTCTTTAAGCATAACATGCAGAGTAATTGCTTTTTCATTCTCGTACAAAAACATAAGATCCATGACATCCAAATTATGGGAAATAAGAGTTGGCGCAATCTTACTTTTCGAGCCACCAATGCGCTTATGTGTAATTTCAATTGCATACTTACTTCGATCAATACTCGTTCTTTCATACATTGTATCTACCAATTCAACAAATGTGGTGCTTCTATCAACTAAAAAGCTATTGGTTAAACCACTTCCCAACCATTCCCAAGATTCGCTCTCCACATTTTTTCAGTCACCATCGTACTCTAGAAAGACGTAGATTGGAGTCATACCTATAATGAATTTTTAAAATATAATTGTTAAAATAAAAACATAAATTCAAAAATTATATCACAAATGTAAACAACATTAATATTAAAAAAATTCAGTGCGACTCCAAACGACCTTGAATTACTCCGAACGACTAACAAATTTCTAAGGTCGCTCAGACTCGTTCTGGAAAGAAAAAGACGCACGACCCTCACTAGGCTATGGTCGTGCGAAAAGAAATCCAGGTCGTTCCTCCTGGATGATGGTCGCGCGCGACCCACTTTGAACGACCTCCGTCATTCACGCGACCAAGTTTCGGCCAAAGAGGTCACGCGCAATCTGTCATCTTTAACCTCGCCATCTGACATCTTCCAAACCCAAAGGCTTTTTTTTTTCTTTTACAAATAGTAAAATTTTCAGCTAAATGCACCTATAATATTCAAAATAAACATCGTCCAAAACAAACATTTAAAGAGATTTAGGACAAAAAACTAACCTTTCAAATTTTATTCTCCAAACAAGTTTTTCTAATAATTTCTTTTTCTTCAAAGTACTTAATCAAATAAAATATGACAAAAATTTCTTTAATCTTGCGGATCTATGATGACCGTAGAGAATGAATGTGAAGAAATCTGCCATGACAGTACGTGAGGGAAGAGAAAAGAGCTTGAGAGAGGGTTTGATGTTCCTTTTTTTAGTTTTTTTCCACAAACAGTTAAATTTATCATGTCATCTCATTAAATTCTACTACTTATTATTTAATTGTCATATTTTTTTTTAAAAAAAATCATTTTACAAATAAAAAATTTTAAATTGTCATGAATAAAATTTTTTTATTAGACTATTTTTACAAAGTGCTCAAGCTTCTTTCCTAGCAGTTCACTGTCCTTTCTTTTTCTTTTTTTTTTTTTTCCTCGTTGTGGTTCTGAAGGGAAGCCAGATGGGCCCCACTTGGGCCAGATATTTTTGCCGCTGGTTTTGTCTGGGCTGGGTTTTGCGCTGGTTGGCTGATTTGGTGGGCCAGTTTTGGTCTGAATTCTTAATGAAGAAGGTAATGGGACTGGCCAATGAGGATTGAGGACGACGTGAATTTTGAAGATTTTATTTTTAAAATTTTGCTTTTTTTTTGGGGTTTGCCCCCCAACCGCGTTTTTTTTTTTTTTTTTTTTTTTTTTTCTTTTTTTTTTCCGGTTATACTTTGTGTTGGGTCAGCATAATGATTTTCTTTTCTTTCCTAATTATTTTTTTCTTTTTTTTTTCTTTTCTTCGAATTATTAGTTTGGAGTGGTGAAATGTGCATTGAATGTGAAAAAGGATCGAGTTGTTTTTTATCGATTAGTTTACTGTGGTAAAGTTTGGTGCATTTTCGGTTTTGGACCGGCACTTTGTTTGATATTATTATGGTTTGATTTTATCAGCAAAACGTCAATAAATAATAACAAAACCTTACTTCTTCTATTTTGGCATTTGTTTTTAAGGATATTCTGTTATTTTAAAAAAATATATAATCTGTTACCATATAGTTTGATTTATTCCAAACAAGTGTATGTGCAAGGGGGCAAAAAACTAGTGTTATAGGCTTCAATACATCTTCACCATCATGAACCACAAGTCCAAAACCTTACTCTTTCCTCTAAAGTCTAAACCCCCGACTAAAGCTTCAGAAAAAAAAAAAAAAAAAAAAAAAAAAAAGAGGAAAAAAACCATGCATCAAACACTTCTATGCGATCTCTCCTCTCACCAACGGTTTTTGGTGTTCTTCTCTTCGAAAAGAAATATAAAATAAAATAAATATACAAGGTTATGGAGTGTTACTTCATAGTTTGACTGTTATAATACTTTAATCGAGAAAATGAGATAAATATTTTTTTAAAGTGCATGAATTTAAATTTTTATCATTTACTTTTGATTAATATCATTTTTAGTGAAATAACTATATCAAACAAAAATGTATTAATTAAAAATAAAAGTAAAAGTCCATATAAATGCACCGAGTAAGTTCAACAATTTCTTTTTTTAAATTCTAATCCAAACTCTCACTCATTAGTTGTCATATTTTGGGATAAAATCCACATTTCAAGGTCCAACGTTGACCAATAACATTTATAGAGGAAGAATGTTAAAAGAGAGTCAAATTACATGATATCTATTTGTATTTTTTTTTAAAAGAAATCATATGTGAGTAGATAGCTCTCATTTTTCACATTGTCAGTCGGCTACTACTTTTGTAATTTTTTATAAATGCTAGGAAATATGTTTGTGTGTTGGTACAGCTTTGATTTTAAAAATAAAATAAAATAAAGAGTAGGGAATAAATTGCAGGTATTAAAGGTCGAATAACATCAAACCTACATATATCAAAACTTAATAGTAAACAACCAAAACGTTTGTGGCGAAGTTATCTGATAGATGTGTGCACGAGGAGATGTTGGGTTTTGGGGACCACCAACCAACTGCATAGGGCCTTTCTTCATAAACCCTGCGGTGCCACGTTTTGTTCAAAGACAATTCAGAACCATTTTTAATCGATTTTCAGCCAAAACAAATTTTTAATCGATTTTCAGCCAAAACAAACGCGTTTTGTTCAAAGACAATTCAGAACCATTTTTAATCGATTTTCAGCCAAAACAAATGCGTTTTGTTCAAAGACAATTCAGAACCATTTTTAATCGAATCGATTTTCAGCCAAAACAAATGCGTTTTGTTCAAAGACAATTCAGAACCATTTTTAATCGATTTTCAGCCAAAACAAACGATCTGTCCTGACTCTCCTGATACAACCGGGGGTTCTCATTCAGTACAAGCAAAGTTATCAAAGCACTGCCTTCTTTCATCAAAAGATTGCCTTGCCTCCACAAGTCACTCATATCGCAAATAATAGGCTTTTACACAAATATTTGACTGATCATCCTTTTCCCTAATACATGCATGAACCTAGTAATTGTTGCCTAGCACACTTTGTTGAAAATTAGTAGATTTTTATTTATTATCTATTTAAGAAGAAAAAGAAAAAGAACCTTCTTTAACTTTTGACTGAATCGCTCATTTACAAAATTGTAATTTGATTTGTTAGATTTCTAGAATTTATTTCTTAATAATGATGACGTATCTCAAATAATTTCACTTTCCTTTCCTTTTTCTTCACATCTCACTCTCTACAAAGCCCCCTGCAAGCGAAAAACAGGTTCAAGAGGCTCAAGTTGTGTGAATGCAATGCCGCGAAGCTGCTTCTCATTAGCTCATTCTAGTCAACTCTTTACATACAAGATTACAATAAACAAAACAAAACAAAACAAAATTAAATTAAATAAATTTTACAACTTTCCTGGGATGGCTTGACAAAAAGGCTATGGAGGCAAACTATAATTTCTGGGAGGTAAATTATGATGCAGACCTTGTCGACACTTGTGGTAGAGTTCCTTGTGAAAAAAGAATCAGTATTCTCAATCGGTAATTAGTAATAGAAACATAGGACATCAATGAATCTGCAATATTAATGCATGACAAGCATCAGTAATGTCTCAAGTCAAATATGCAAAGTTAGAAAAAGCAGGAAGCAGGACTTCATGAAACACTTTGGCGTATAAACGCAATTCAAAGGGGTAATTAGTTTCATTAGAAACCTGAAAGCATAGTGCCAACAGCATTCCATTCAAATAACACAAAGATTAAAGCCTCGTTACTGTAACCGCTGAATCTAAAGACAAGGCCAAAAAGGGATTGCTTTTAAATCTAAAGGGGTCGATTTGTCCAGGGATGTATCATTGCAATGTAATTTTTCTTAAATAGGTTTACAGAAATGCATATTAGTTTTAGAACATCAAAACTACGAGATTGCAAACAGGAGTACAAGTTTAACGCTCACCTGAGACTATTGAAGATTCTGAGTGGCAGTGATGGCCTGCCAGTTATCAAAACAAATAAGAATGCTGTACTATGTGCATGAATAAGACTAATCAAATATTCAACGACCCTTCAGCTTAGTAATTGCATATTTGGATGGCCGGGAAGAGGCGTAGTAGGTTTAGTCAACGGTCTCAAAGATTCCATGATACTGGCAAATGAAGGTCGCTTCCACGGCTCACTGCAGTACAAGATGATTTGTTTTAAGAAATATGATTACACAGAAACAAACTTTTCAAGAGATTCAATAACTAACTCAATATAATTGCAGGCTTAAAACTTACTTGGCCCAGCATGCCTCAATTAAGGAAGCAACTTGAGAATTCAAATCACGCGGAATCTCAAGCCTTTTGTTCCTAAAACCAACAGCTGCCACAACCTATAAAACAGGATATATAAATCAAAAGAAATGAGCTCACACAAAAGTCAAACCATATGGGAGAGGATACTAAAATTAATTGCCCAGCACACAATCTACAATACTCTACTGCCTTCTAAACAGCTCCTCAGATCACAAGTACAACCTGCCTAATCCCAAAACTTCACAATCATCAGTTTTATATATGCTCCCTTGGAAGTCTAAAAGACCAAAAAGTATACAAACAGGACAAACGGTGTTGTGCATGTATTGTATGTCCACTTCTTATATTTTTAGTAACGGACCTGTGCTGGATTTAAATTACTCCATGGCTGTTGCAGCGTGGCAAGTTCCCACAATATTACACCAAAGCTGTAAACGTCTGATTTCTCATTTGATGGCTCATCACGGAGAACTTCTGGTGCCATCCACTCTGGCTATTAGATGAGAAAGAAAAAAAAAATTATAAATTTTAGGTAACAAAGTCCCTAAACCACCTTAGACTGGAGACCTGAAAAATCTAGAGTCCTGTTTAAGAGAACATACAGTCCCAGCGGCCGACTTTGATGAAAGAAATGTATTCGCCTTTAGACGTGAAAGACCAAAATCGCAAACCTAAAAGAATAGACATATTGTGACGAGAGAACATGACCAAAATATAGTTAAGAAAATGACCAACATCAGCAAATATCAGTTCAAATAAATACATTCACTAGGCACATAAGCATTTTTAAAAATCATTAATATCAAATCACCCCCCACACGGGGGATGTTGCATGTAAAATATCACCATCCCTACCTTCACAGTATATTTCTTATCAACAAGAAGATTTGGAGATTTTAGATCTCGGTGAACTATAGGGGGATTACGTCTATGAAGATAATTCATTCCCTTTGCCTGTGGGAGAAAAAAAGAAAGAAAGAGAAACCATTTAGCTCCAAATGATTTTCTCCCAAAAAAGAAAAAAAAAAGGATAACTATGTCCGTGTTAAGAGAAGTGTGTAAGACTACAAAAGGAAAAAACTAAATCATTAAAAAAGGATAACTATGTCCGTGTTAAGAGAAGTGTGTAAGACTACAAAAGGAAAAAACTAAATCATTGATATACACACCACATCATAAGCCATATTCAACCGACGCCTCTCGTCCAGCATCTCTCTTGCACTGGGTTTATGCAAAAGCCTATACAAGCTCCCTCTGCAAGAGACAATACTTTTATACGTTATGGAACTACTAAACCTCTTAAAGCTACAGGAGAATCTTTGGCACACTGGACAAGGCTCCAGATATCTGGGGAGGGGAAGGGAGGGACATTACAAAACCTTGATAAATATTCTGTGACTATGGACAAGTTTGGTGGCTGCGTCACTGCGCCCATAAAGAGAACAATATTTGGATGCCGTAGGCGTTTCATTATGGCAACCTAGCAAGCAAATAAAGCATATATACGCATATCAGAACAGGACTAAGAAATTCGAACAGCGTTACTACTTGACTCTCTTAATAGATTTCAGAAGTCATGCCAGTATATACCTCCCTCAAGAATTCATTGAAGCGTTCTGCATGAAAGTCTTGTTCCATAAGAATCTTCACAGCAACATCCTGTAATGCACAATATATATCAAGACATCACAAAGAAAAGAATTAAATATATATATATATATATATAGAGAGAGAGAGAGAGAGAGAGAGAGAACAGAACCTCCAAATCCAGACAATAAAAGCAAAATAAGTCAAAGGATATATACGGATTGGATATCATTGCAAAAAATTATACGTATTTTTCTACAACAGAATTGAAACCTGACAAGAACATCAAAAAGTGGAAAATTCATCAAGAAGAAATAGCAGACACACGGTTTAACTGATGAGAACCAATACATAGAACAGTCTAAATTAATGAGATGCTTACTGAGCCATGCCAATCAGCGCGATGGACGGTGCCAAAAGAACCTGAAAATGTGGAAAGTTTACTCTTAAGTGAATCCCTCAAAATAGTTCTTATGGACTGCTTTGCAGTCAAGAGGCATGGACCCTCTTTTATTTATTAGACAACTATAAGTTTAGTGCTAGAGGGTTTTTTTGTTAATAGGACAGATTATGGCAAATACCTGCTCCAATTCTCTCTTTTAGTACCAGATCACTCCACGGAATGACCAAATCCTCTATGTCAAGGGTAAGATTGTTGCTTGGTTTAGGAATCAGTTGACCGCCCCCTACATGCCCCATATGTGGTTCTTTGGTTGTTGGCTGTACAGTATTTTGGGGACTACCTTCGCCACCAGACCGACCAGCTTTGCCACGCCGAGACATGTCATCACCATGACCTGGAATCGGCAAAAAGTTGTTTACATCCGCGCATTTCCTATCATGTGATTTGGAATACATGGGAAACCGACGGTTTTCTTCATCAGTGGTGGGTCCTGTTATAAAAGAACATAAGAAAAGGATTTAAGCATATAAAAGTACCAGTATATGCTGTGAGCATAAACAGCTCATAAATGTGAGTAAAGAATGAAAAGCATCCATTCAGAATTAATAAAAGGAGAGGAAAAAAACACACACACAGAGAAAGAAGACTGAAAAGTTCCAAAATTCCTTGTACACAGGATGACAAACAATTTCAATAAAATTATAAGAATTTACCAATATATCTAACTTATACTTAGGCGGGTGCCATGTTTGCCCTTAATACCTTTGTGCTAAATATATTACTCGATGGCAGTCTAAAGTGGCACCCAATTCTACCGAGGTATTCTGTTTGTATCATACACAATTCTTGCATACTTTGGGAAGTATGCGAAAAATGCATACTTCTATCCTACTTTACATGTCTAACTTTGAAACAAATATCTGCGACTAATGAATGTACCTGAGGAAGCTTCATCAAATACCAGATTAAGTGACTGGCAGTCTGAGAAATACTGTTTGGCCAGTGACCTGAAATCGATGGCAGGTTCAACTGGTTTCAGTCGTGGAAAGCGCAAGGGTGAAGAAATTGAGATGGATGACGGACCATTGAGCACGGAATCAGGCTCACATAAGTAACCTGGATTCCCAACCAAATCTACCAAATACTCTCTGCAATGATAAAAATCAACATATGAGATGCTTCTACCTCTTTGAACATAAGTCAGTATGCATACGAGTACGACACCTTACACCACCAAAATATTAAATAAAAGTATAAAAATATCCAAAGTAGAAGAAACATTCTAACACACTGTAATGATTAAACAACGGTGACAATAATGAATCTGATATGAAGACTTGACTGAGTTCACTACAAACTCAGTGAACACGACAATTCAACAGTGGCGAAACTAACTGATCCAGCATAAATAAGTGATGTATGAGAATTTTCTGACATAATGTTGAAATTAATTCCTAATAAAGTATGTAAAGAGAAATTTTACAACAGAAAGTGTAATCGATTATGCTCCGAAGGAGCGTAAATATCTCATTGTCCATTATTAATAAGTAGGGCCATAAATTAATTCATTTCCTCATTGCTAGCCACTCATGCCATCCAGCAACGTCAAGTATCATTACTCAGTTTAAAAAATTGATAGATCAAACTAAAGCTTACTTATCAAGCCCAAAGCGGACAAGACACGAGGAAGCATCATCTCTTCTACAATATTTACAGCCCTTCGCAATTCGACATGGCAAATCAATTGTATTAGCTAACACCTGCGGAAAACATGTCATGAAAGTGAATAGATTTCATTACCAATGTAGCAAAATATATATTACAAATATAAGCATAACCATATTTAGAAAGCATATGAATTCCATTAACAACCTTGCAAAATTAATTAATCAATTAGTCACATTATACATACATACATACATAGACATACATAAATATGTGTGTGTGTGTGTGTGTGTGTGTGTGTGTGTAATGTGTGCGGTGTATGGTGTACCAACATATTGATAACTGAAGAAATTTTCAGATTCACTGATTATATATATTTGGTGCCTTACTTTGAATAGCAAAGCACGATGTCTGCAGAGGCCAATGGATAGACTGCCTACAGGAACAACTACAGATCCTAAGCAATCTTTTAGATCATCACTACCCTCCCTCCAAACCGAAACCAAATCATCTTCTCCTGTGGAAGCTAAACCCCTTGTGATAGGAACAAAGATTTGGTTACACATGTCCGAAAGAGTGGAAGGCTAAGAAAAGAAAGTTGAAAGAACAGCAAACAACTTACCCCATGCGACTGCATACAAGCTTTGCAAGCTGATCTACAACTTCTTTGGTTGTTATACAGCTACAAGAAATGCTTAGGACTCTATTGTGCAGTTCCTTCAAACCGGGGTCACTACGTCTATCAACAAGAACTGCTTCAATTGAAGAGCCAATGCTAGAGTCAACGGACTTGAGCAATTCAAGTGATGGTATACGACCATTCTCTTGCAGATCAGTGCACATAGTCCATACATATGGATCCATTCCATGAATTAGGTAAAAGCCATCAGGAACTTTGTCAAAGTACGAGAGGCAGCCATTCACCTGATTATTTTATAGTGGTATGACAGGAGAATTGTTCAGTTCATATAAGTGTTAAAAAATTAAAAATAAAATTAATAAAAAGAAACTATTGGTATGGCCAGTTTTGAAGCAGCATAACACGTCCAAATTAACAAAAAGTGTCGCTCTAATAGGTTTGTTGTATACTCAGGTATCATCAAAATATATTTGATCTCCTGTCTTAGTGCAAGACAAAAAAAACACTACTTCCTCATAAATGAAATGGGATATGCTATGTTAGTTGCAACCATTTGCATTAATCTTCTTGCTTAGATAGTTCCAATCTCTCCGCTTTACTGGGTCGGTGGGGAGGGGGAAAGAATAGAGAGAGAGAGAGAGAGCTTAGTTTCTAACGCCAAGCATAACCTAAAAAATTATATTCTGTAAAAAAGATGCATCATAATGCGACTATTTTGAAATCCTCTTTTGAGTAGGAAATAAACTAAACTAAAGTCAGGCACTGTACAAGAATAGCATAGGAGAATATTTAGCAACTGTTGGCGCTGTCTGTTTTTCTAGTTGACTTGCTAGACAAGTTGTGTCAATTATGCAACTAATCTAGAGAGAAAGAGGTTACTTTCTGACGCCAAGCATATAGACTGGCCAGATTATAGTGCCTTTGACACAATGGGAATTAAGATGATCTATTATGAGATCGAGAAGAAAAACTAGGAGACCTATTTAACACGAAATATGATGCATAAATGTAATTGGAATGCCCATAATGCCAAATTCAACGGTCAGAAATTCCGGATAATTGATACCCGGAAACATCCTTGGAAAAGAAATTGAAACACTTTGAATAAGATTGAACTAACTATAGTAATATTAAATCCATCAGCTAACGAGATTCAAACTACCCATAATGAAAGGTATTCACTCTAAACAATAACTAACCTATCAAATTTGCCTTGAACATAAAACTTCAAACGAATAGTTAAAGTCGAAGGCTTTTTCTACATACATCAATGGAGACAGTGAATTTGTAAGGGATGCCAATTGCATACTGAAAACTAGATACAAAAAATAAACTCATTACCCAAAACCGATGCGAGACGGCCTCGGCCGAATTCGACGACGCCGTCCTTATGGAGGATTCGTCGGGCACCGGATCCAAGAAATGGGGATCATCTGCGCAAGTCGCATCGGACGACAACCGGAGCGCCAAAGCTAGCTGTAATTGGTAACTCTCCTCCGTCTGCTGCGCCCAGCTCTTCCCCGACCACGACGATCCCCCGGTCCCGCCGCCTCCGTCCACGCCCTTCAACCTGTACTGCCCTCCTACTCCTCCTCCGCCGCCGCCGCCGCCGCCAATCTTGAACACATCGGCCAATCTTGACCACATCGTCATGCAAGTACCCGAGCGCGTCGATCTCGTTGGCCGCCGAGGCCGACAGAGTCGGCCCGTAATACTCACCGGAGAGCGAGCTCTCGCCGTAGCTACTCCCGCTCGACTGCCTCTGCAACCCGATCGTCGACGACGACGACGAGAACATATTCCCGATCCGATTCACCTGCTGATTATTATTGTTATTGTTGTTATTCCCTCTGTGATCGCCTCCCGGCGATTCCCAGTCAAATCCTCTCTCCACCTTCCCTTTGTTGTTGTTGCTCTTCCCCTCCCCCGACACAGTCTCGTAGAACGAACCTCCGGCGACACCTCCGCCGCCGCCGCCGCCGTACTGGTCATCGTCGAATTGGCTGAGGAGCGAGTAGTTCGATCTCCTACCGGGCATTTCCATCGAGATTGCCGCCGAATTCGCCAGTCACAAACCCCTAGAAACCCTAAAACCCGCCATTGTTGAAGAAAGTCTCGAGACCAAATGGAAAGAAGCAGGTCCGACTTTTTTTTTGTTGTTGTTTTGATAATCAGGTCCGACTTTCTCTCTCTACAAACACTTCTTCCTTTTCTTTTCTCTTTTTTCTTTTTTCTTTTTCGCGTTTGTCTGGCGTTTCTCGCTCTAGAATTCGATTGTCGGAGAGAGAAAGGAAAGAAAGCGGTGCGATTTTATGCGGTGGTGTAATGGTAATATTCTCCGAAATTTCTTTTTCCGTTTTCTTTTTTTCTTTGTTAAACTATTTGGGAGCGTGCGAGATATTATCAACGGTGCGTGAACTTTTAAGTCGTTTTTAGTGCACTATTTAAACTTTAAAATTCTACTTTATACTTTAAATTTTGAATTATTCTCGTTGAACCGTGTTTGTTGTAATTTTTCTTAAAACAGATTAAAAAAAAGAAAATAACATAGCCCGTTTAGTTCGTTGATTTAAATTTTTAATTTGAGTTAAGATGTGACGTTATGTGAGAGTTTTTTACTGTAGTAAAAAAGTTAGATGTGACTGTTTCTGAGAGCTTTTTACTGTAGCAAAACTCAAATTCTAAACTCGAATCGGCGAAATGAACGGGGTCTGTCTCGTTATCTTTTAATTTGAACATCTATTAAAAATAAATAGATAAAAATTAAATACTCGTGACTTTGAATTTTTCTCATTTAACTGTGTATGTTGTAATTTTTCTTAAAATAGATTAAAAAAAGAGTAACATAGTCTCATTGTCTTTCTGTTTGAATATCTATTAATAATAAATAGAAAAAAATTATATGATCACACGTAATTTACTTTTTTTGTGTAATTTTAACAAAAATTTCTTATAAAAAATTTAAATGAGACAAATTTAAAATTTAAAAAGTAAAGTTAAAGTTTTTAAAATTTAAGAGATAAAGCGAAAATTACTCTAAAATTAAGGGTCATTGATGATATTTTATTAATTTATTTTTTTGGATAATTGACACATAGTTCTTAAATTTTTTAGTAGGTGATAATTTAGTCCATCTTTTTTTAATTTTGACAAAACACTCCCTAACCTCTTTAAACAAGTACAATTAACTCCTTTCCATCCAAAGTCATGTCGAGAACGTGTGATCAAATAGAAAAATGTATTTTAAGTCTCGTTTATTTTACCGATTTGAGTTTAGAATTTGAGTTTTGTTATGGTAAAATGCTCTCAGAAAGAGTCACATCTAACTTTTTTACTGTAATAAAAAGTTCTTATATAAAGTCACATCTTAACTCGAATCAGTGAACTAAACGGTCTTTTAGTAAATAGACAATTTTTTTTAACATGACAATTTATATTTTAACAACAATTAAAATAAGAAAGCAAATAAAAAAACCAAAAAGATAGGAACGGATCAGATTTATTTAAAATAACAAACAAACCAAAAGAAAAAAAAAACAAAGAGAAAAATCTGAAAACAAAACCCACCGTTGATCTGGGAGGATAGAGGCGAAGATGGCTTCGATGGACGGGAGAAAGCGAGCACGTCCGGAGAGGGGGCACAATGGCAGTCGAATGAAGATGAAGAGGAAAAACATGCCTTAGTTGCTTACTAGAGTTTGATTCTTTTTTTATTCTTCTAATTTTTACTGTAGGATCAGGAGATGGATGAAAAAATCCATAGTAATGTGGTATTACATCCCATCTCATATGCGTCAAGATCAAACTTTTTATGGGAATGATTCTTTTGAATTTGTAAAATGAAATGAAATTCTCCATCAACGTGTTTTTAGTAAAGCAAAATGGTTTAATTACCATTAGAATCATATTTTTCATCATAAACATATTTTTCCTAATCTCTACAAGCAGCATACAATTTTTCACTAATTTTCTTTATTTTTCATCGTATCAGTAACCCTTAAAGCTTGAGAACCCACGCCCAAAATCGAGATCGCAAAGACATTTGCACAGGTGGAGCTTCATCGGGGGGGCGATCACATCATTTTTGGTTGAAAAGAGTCGTGGCGGAGCTAACTTTTCACTTTATTAGAAGCGCAAATTAAATTTTTTTTAACAAATTATCTTAGTGAGAACATATAAGAAAATATATTTATTTTAATTGAGGTATATATTATTTCAGTGGAGACTTAAGTGTAAAATTTTAAAATTTTTAAAGGTAATATTTTTTATAAAAAAATTTAAGTGGGGACGACGGCTGCCCCCGCTCATCTTCAAGTGGCTCCGCCACTAGAAAGGAGGTCAACGTTTTTAGAGATGGTGCTAGATGTGGGGTTGCGGGTGGGGGCGTTACAGATTTTGGGTTTGTGGTGGGAATTGGGCTGGCTTGCGGTGGCGCAATGGGATTGGCTTGCGACGGTGCAGGTTTGACAATGGATTCAGCTGGCCAGCGATTATCTTCTCTCCGTTTTTACAGAGGAAAGAAAGAAATCCATCGTACCCTAACAGTGTGTTTGGTATGAATGAAAAGTGAAAGGAAGGAAAATGTTGAGGGATTTTTGGGATGGAAATTGATAAATTAATTAGGTGAAGGAAGTTGTTTGGTATAAGAGAAAGAAAAGTGAAAAGGAAATGTTAAATTTAAGGCATTTTATAATAATACCCCAATACAAATAAAAATATGATGAATAGTGAATATTAAAATTGTTATTTTACATTTTATTTTTTTTGTCAAACTTTTTCCCTCATCTTTTCTTTCTAAAGTTGGAATGATTAAAAATTAGTGGGCCTCATGGATTTTTATTTTCCTGCCTTCCTCATTTTTCCTCTACTAAACAATCTAAAATTCTATTTGTCTCTACAAAATCCTTTCTCTATTTTTTTTCCTCTCTCTTTTTCACCCTACTAAATACACCGTTAACAGTGTGTTTGGTATGAATGAAAAGTAGAAGGAAAGAAAATGTTGAGGGATTTTAGGACGAAAATTGATAAGTTAACTTATTCGGTATAAAGGAAATTGGGAAGGAAAAGAAAATTGAATGGAAATTTTTATTGGTGGGTCTCACCATATTCAATTCCTTTAAAAATTGGCGGATTTTATGAAGAAAAATATAGATAATTACACAAATGAAGTTAAATTACTGAATTGTCCTCATTTTTCATCCAAAATTGGTGGATAAAGTTGGCGGTTTTTTTGCCAAAAAGAAAAGACAAATAGAGCTCTCTCTCTCTCCACTCAGCTCACTTTTCATAGACATAAAAACTTCTCATTGTTTATGAGTTCTATTGTTGAAGATTGAAGGTACGTGGTCTAAATTTACTATAACATGCTACTGTAGCTAGCTACTCTTTTGTTGGATTTAAACGTTAGAAAAATGACTAATGCATTAATGCTATATAAATTGAACTATATTTTTGTACCTTTATATACGTATGTGTGTGTATATATACATAATATAGATGAAATATATGTATAAGTTATATGAATTTTTTTAGTTAATTTAATGTTGAATGCTGTACTACTTTTATTAGAAAAGAATATTAATAAAAAAATATTTTAGTAAAAAAGTAATTACACCAATAATAATTTTTCAATCTCTTTAGTTTCACTTCCAATACCAAACAAGAGAAGATAGATTCATTTTATTTCTTTCCTATCATACTAAACAAGTCAAGAGAAAATTAAAATCTTTTCTATTATTTTAATTTTCTATGCATTATAATTTTCTTTTTTCTCCTATTTTCTTTATTTCTTACCGAACAGAGTGTAAATTTCAAATTATCCCTTCAAAAACAAATCCTAAATTATATCTGGCCTTTCCTCACAAAAGGGACATTTTAGTTATTTCATTGATTTTTTATTACAGTAAAAAATTCTCACATAAAATTAAATCTCAATTTAAATTAAAAACTCAAATCAATAAATTAATAAACTTTAAATTATCATTTACAGAAAAAGTTAAAAACCATCCGTGTTAATTGTGCATTTATTTATTGGTGTGGGGGTTGGAACTTGGAATTAACATAAATGGGTTGCTTTGCTTTGCTTGGTTAATGCTGGCGGTTGCTTTTTTCCAAGCACATGCCCTTTTCATTTGGGATGCGGATTATGAATTGTTTGGATTCGTTGGTAAATTCCGCCCCACTTTCTGCTCATGTCAACTGTCAAAGCGTCTGCAAGACTTTCTGACACCACCTTGTACGCCTTCAGGTTCATGCACACTCCTTCTTTTTCTTTTCTTATTATTTTATTTTTTAATTTTCTAATTAATTTATACTATGAGCGTATTTTATATGTTAGGATTAATTTCATAAGAGTATAAGGAGTTTGAGTATGTATTTCTCACAAGTTATGGGTCCCACCGGACCCATCAAGTGGTGGTGGGACCCATATAATTCTGGGTATAATTTTATTACCGTTTTGATTATATTAGAATTTTTCATTATAAATAATAATTTTTAATTAAATATCTTGATTCTCTTCTGAATTTTTTAATAACTGCTCGTTTTATCTTTATACTGTATATATAAATTATTTTAAGGTAAATATAGTGACACTCCATGTTTTTTCTTTTTGAAATAATAGAGACTCTATTCACTATAAAAAAATTATGCCAACGTCCTTTGATCTTAACTATATTAACTCTAAATATGAAATTAAGAGTTTGTTTGGTAGGAAATAAAAGTAGAAGGAAGGAAGAAGGTGAAGAGATTTTGAGAGAGAAAATGGAAATATAGGTTGTTTGGTAGGAGAGAAAAGAGAAAGGAAGAGAAAATAGAGTGAAAAATAATATATGTGGGTCCCATCATTTTTTTTATTTTCACAAGTGGGCAGAAAATAGAGTAAAAAATGGAGACAACTAATTAAAGTGAGCAAAGTTACTAAACTACCCTTTTCTCCATCAATATTCAAACAAAAAATTTAAGGGTATAAAAGTAATTTACGAGTAAAAATTTTTCTTTCCTCTCAATTTAAACAAGTGAAGGTAAACTCATTTTCTTTCCATCTTCTCATACCAAACAACATAAAAGAAAATCAATTTTTTTTCCATCATTATTATTTTTCATCACTTTTATATTTACTTTCTATCATATTTTCTTTTCTTCTTACCAAACATAGCATAATTTAGAGTTTAATAAAAGGAAAAACCTAAAGAGCACCTTGCCACCGCCTCTCCACTACGCCCTTTTTAAGATATTATACTTTTATTATTTTTTCTTCTTCTTCTTAATGAGATATTGAAAAGACAATATAGAAATTGAGTTCAACTAAAATATGAAAATTTGACTTTTTTTTTTCTCTCTCGGAAGCTGCCGACAAAAAAAAATACTAATAAATTCCA